TCAGCAACAGCCCGAAGGCCCGTCCGCATCTGAAGCCAGAGCTAGAGAATTACATCTCCCTAAACTTCGTGGGGGGCGGTGTCACGGGAAACAAGAGTGACGACGAAGAACCCTCCGCTGCTTCAAGCAGAACACTGTCGGGGGGCCGAGACAACGGCCAAAACCGTGGCGATGGAGGCAGCGGAGCCGGTGCGAACGATGGCAATGATGGTAACCAAGAAGAAGACGGTGCTCTTTGGCGGGGTAGCACGGGCGTCTACACCGGTACGAAGGCACCCAATGAGACTGCAGACAGTTCGCCCGCATCATCTTTGGAACCAGGCAGCACCACAGATCCCTCCGGGACATGCAACAAAGCAGCAGTACAGGACGCGGACGAATGCGGTGATAGTGAAGAGATGCTTCTGTACCCGCGAACACTCGGTTCTTCCGTAAGCGTGCTCGACGAAAAGGACGCGGTTCGTCGGACCGGAGGGGCGAGATTCACGGGGGAAGACCCGATGCGCGGTCGGCTTCGCGCAACTGATCCATTCTTGTGGATGGGCCGCCTGCACGCCGGGGCGACGGCGATTTCTGGCCTCATCGATCAGGCCAAAGGCGCTCTGAACGGCCTCGAAGGTGGTGGCAGTGATGGCGATTCTGTCAGTAGTGGAGGAGGAGGAGGAGGAGGAGGAGGAGAACGCAGCAGCAGCGACCATCGGCGAGGTGAGGGCCTTTTCGACTGGGGGGAGGGCGTGGTGGGCCCAACAACAGCGGGTGATGAGAATAGATTAAAGCAGTGGATGGAAGGAGGGGCGACCGGGGAGCAGAAGGTGGACGAGGGTTGGCAGACGGTGGGAAAAGACGATGGGCGGGCTGGGGGCCATAACGGCGAAGATGAGCGTGGCGGTGATGGGAAAACGCATGTGACACACACGTCGAGCGGCAGAAATTCAACCGTCGAGCAAATAAGCAGCACCATGAGCGCATACTCGCAAGCGATGGAGGCGAACAGGATCATCACCGGCGGTGTGGTACTCGAAGGGGAACAGGAGGAAGACCGTGAGAATGACGGAGACGTAAGCGAACACATCAGATTGCATTTTACTTGGAGCCACGAAGTTCGGGCCGAGATGCAGGGCGGTTCACAAATTCGTGGCACACACGAAACCATGTTTAGCGGGGAACATAGAGTTGGTTATTAACAGGGGAAAATGCGTGGGGTTCTGTGGTCGTGCCTCATGCAGTGTCTGTAGTATGGGAGGCGTTATGTCGGTCATTGATTGTGTTGAAAGTGTCGGTAGATTAAATGGATGATTTAGTTACGAACGCTGTACAAGTAGATTTAAAATATTTTCGAACATGTTTGAGGGGGTGAAAACCAACCTCGTCGCTCATGCTCGTGCGATCCAATGACGATTGTTTGATCGCTCCGTTGTCATGGACATTGGAATCTCCACCCCGCAATGATGATGGCACACACACCTTCACGAGCAAGCTAATTCTATAAATGGACCATCCAGGGGAGACCGGTTTTTCGTGTAGGCACAAACGCCTGGATGATATCGGGTCTTGCTTGGTGCCACGTCTCCGTTAACAATTTCCCTCGGCCCTCGGTTAGATGCATCGTCTAGTCAACAGATGACCTTCAGCCTTCTTCTCACGAAACGAAACCTGTCCGAAACGATCGTGTTTACCTCCTCCAGCAGACCCAAGGCCACCCCAGCAGCAGCAGAGGCAAAGAATTATTCGGCCTCCGGGAAATGCGCGAACGGCTTGCTGGTAGTGGGCCTTGCCCAATGCGCACTTCTCCTGTGAATGCGAGATCGGCTGCCCTTGGTAGTTCGGCCATGCTCGGCAAAATCGACACTGGGTTGAGCAGGCCAAAGAATACGCTCCCAGTGGGAAGCAGAACCTTCGACACAGTGAGTAGCAGCAGCGGCGGGTACGATCCGACTACTTCGTAGGAAGCCACTCAGGTGCCTAGATAGTGTTGGCTCGATAGTAACGTAATGTCGGCGATAATGTTTATCCTCGTAAACGGCTTGCATGGAAAACATATATGCTCACGGGGAGATAACTTTCGTTCTATGGAACGAATGCTTGGCCCAGGAAATGTAGGAATGTACTGCCGCGAAGCTCGGTATTGGCACGTGAAAACAGCTTTGGAGAGCCCAACAACGGTAGATGTCACCGGGGATGTTGCAGGCGCCGAAAGGCAAAAGGAAACCGAACGGCAAAAGGAAGCAGGAAACGGTATGGAGAATTACACATCCACAAGTAGGGAGTTGGATCAGATCCATAGGCCGTTGATCTCCTTCATGTACATATAGCTGTTGCGGACGCCTTCCATCTGCCGAACTCGCGACAAAGCAGGCAACGCCATCTACAAGGCGAGAGGAGTGGGGAGAGGACGAATCTCAAGACATCCGTTTCGACGACATCGTGTCTAGTATCATCCGAGAGGTCCCTTCGAGGGCGCCGCCGACGCCGAGGAGTGTGAGTGATGCTAACCGTTGATGTTGAATCGGTTGTCGTCGTTGCTCATGTTTGTCGCTCTTGCTTGTGTTGCATGCCCTGCATGACGCCTTCTTCCATTCAAGCTATTCTCTTCTCGCCTTGTTTCATTCAAGCTATTTTCTTCTGACCGGCCGCGACGTGTTGTTGACCTGAACATTGTAGTAATACAGTTATCAGATTTATTATGGATAGCGGAACCCACGATGTGCTTACTCGAGAACCGGCATGTATATTCATGTTGTCGGTATTGAGTTCCCGCCGACCGCTTCACATGTGCCGTGCTTGTCTTTAAGCGTCCATGGCGGGTATCCTCAGGTAATGACATGGTTCAACAGATACGTCGCCTGCAAGCACTGCTTCGAATGCTCCAACCAACAGCTCGTGTTGCCGGCTCCTTGGTATTTCTCTCTCCGGTGCACGCCAACGACCAGCCCGAAGGCGTGGGCGGCACGGGCGGACATAAAGCAGTGGGACCACCGTGGTCTGCGCAAGAACGGACATCGCCAACACGAAGACCGAGGTTAAGATTGCGCGTTCGAGGAATGTACACATTATTGTTTGCAGCTCTAACTCTGATGGGTTCTGACGAAGCCTTACTACTTCTTAGCCAACGGCCGACGGCTTTCCAGACCCACACGGCTGGTTCCCTGCCCTCTTTCCTTCCATTTGATCCGTATGGCAAGCGGCGGTGCGCCCCACCGATGCGATCCTTCTCTACGCCGCCGTCGGTGGAAATCTTGCTTGATATGTGCTTATATCCCAACTAGGGATAATGCAAGCTGGAGGCCGGTCGAAGGGCAGGGGCGACGGCCTCGGTCAACTCCCGCCGGGTTCCGTGCAGGGGTCGAGGCCGCGGCGACTGTTCTCGATCGACGGCCTCCTTGGTCCCTCCCATTGGATAGCGTGTTCGCCCCTCGCGTCAAAGGAGCCGTACAGGTGATTTCACTCTGGAGTGATCCACTTCTAACAGGGATGTGAATTGTCGGCAACTAGTTAGGCCCGTAACGTTTTCCGGCTAGCAGCCGTGCTGCTTGGGTTTTCACCGCGATTTTACAGAATTAGGAAAATATTCACTTATTCCATACATCAAGATTACGGCAACTGGTCCACGAGCAAAGACATGCGTATCCTTTCAAACCTCCCGGTGTCACGCAACGACATACAGCGGAAGACAACCGTAGTTCTTGCTCCGACGCCGATACTGCACTAGTTTGGTACCAGACCTACTGACAAGTAAAACAGTTGCATGATTTTGAATCTCCGTATCTTAACCTTGTCTGGATTAAAACGCAGCCATCGGTCTTGATGGCGCCGGCCCGCCGTCGATTCAGCGATGTCGACAGTTCGGTCGGCGGCGGTATCAGCGACCCGCCTCCTCGACAAGGGATTCCACCGCCCAGCAGGAACCTTGTCGTCCGCGGGGCGTCCGCCCTCCGATGGCAGCGACGAAGCACGACAGCCCCTTCGGATATGTCTTGTGGAATAGTGCACTTCGAAATGTCAAGAAGAATGTCAAGAGAGGAGACAGGGGCCGCAGGAAGTGCGGGCGCTGTTGCGGTGACGCTGCAAGACCATGATCCATCGGTGGAACAACCACCCCACAGCATGCGCAGGTATCTACAGTAGATATTCAGATGAGCGAACCACGACGAACCATTCACCTACGGACGAACATTGACATTCTCATTCAGGTCTCGACCGGGTAGAGAGATATAACCTTCTCTACAGTATGTCGGGCATCGTTCCAGTAGAAACTCCGCTCGGCGTACTCATTACCTGACGTTCTTAATGCATCAAACGCACACCTCAAGCCAGGAAGGAATGAGGGACTGTGCGCCCGCAAGCCCCGAAACGTTTGATGTATGCATGCACATACCAGATCCCGCTCGGCCTCGGAGGTGTTGCTCCAGTGTGGCCTCCTCCAAGAAGAGCCGCCTGCGGACAAACCTCCGGCCATGGCCGACGGAATCTGGAGCTGGGGTTGGCACAACGAGGGTGGCCAAGAGAATCCCCCGCCGACAGCTGCTTCCGGAGATTTTTTCACGCCTCTGGTGACTCCGGAGGTAATTCGGGAGCTTGGGCGTGAAAGTGCATTCGCTCAACCTATAGAAGCTGAAACACTTGATGGAATGAAATGGGCACGACTCCCGCCGAACAGCATGGGATTGCTTGAGCAACTGCCGGTAGGAAGCATCGTGCAAAGACGCCGCCGTCATCTTGGGATGTTTGGGCAACTGTTTCGCTCTTGGGTGAGATACATCGCTCATTTTCACGAGAGAGGAGGAATCACCCTCCTGAAGCGTGTGCAATCGTTGGTGATCCCTGTGGCGGCGAGTAATTCCCAACTGAATATAGACCTTGGCGACAATGCCCCCCCACACACTCTTCGTTCCATTCATCGCACTGCAGATATGCAAACGTTACACGCGAACTGGTCTCGGAGGCACGTCTCCACTCCGCAGTAGGCGCAAAAACGGTGTTGCCTCGTCCTTCGGGGGGGAATGGTCGGGCACAAGAACCCCTTCAGGTGTGTCGCATAGCCGAAGGCACTCCCACGCCACTCAAGGAAGCGATGTCCGCCCGAAACGCGCCTCCTTCTCGCATGACGATGGCGGCGAAACCCGACCAAGGACCACGGGTAATTTCGACGAGGACGAATCTTTCGCAGTCGGCAACACGGTGGACGACAGGAATGGGCAGGGCACAGGCGGTCTCCTACGTAGGGCTAGATCAGCCGAAGACCCCTTCATATCGCCACACCAGGCCAACCACGATGACCTGCCAACGCAGGCAGAAACCCCGGGCGAAGTTGCTGCCCACCCTACAGCTGATGACGGGTCTACTCCTGACGGTGGCGAAAGCATTGCAAAAATTGATGAGGACAACGTTGGGTTGTTTGCTGGCGACGATCAAGCAGCGGGAGGGCAGGCAGGCGATGAGGGTGCTACCGACGACGGCATCGACAACGAGGAGTTGGAACTTCCGGGGGACCTACCTCAGCAGATGCCCCGAAGAGTCAGCTTTGCAGACGAGCAAGACCCAGGCCTCCTGACCGACGGCAGGAACAGCAACGGGCAACGCAGCGGTCGACACTGGGAGGGATGGGGAGCTCAGCGGCGCCGAATGTCCAGCCTCATTGGCACCAGCAACGGCTACTTGGAGAGCGACGGCAGCATCAACGGCCAACTGTTTGACATGAACGCGAGGCGGAAGAGCGATCTTGAGCGCTGCCAGCGAGCGATAGAGATCGCGAGGGCCGCCCACAAGCTCCTATTTACTGACACCCGTCCGGACGGGCTTCGCCCCATCACGGGCACCCCGATGGCTGACGGCAGAGACATACAAGGAATGGGAGGGTTGTATGTCGGCCTCGCTGGACTCAAGGGCTTCGATTTGTCGTTTGTCGGCGCGATTTCCACGAGCGAGAGTGGATGCCGACGAAACTTGGGCTCGGCATCATCACGCCTCATGGTGAACAGACGTCTTTCGGGTTCTGCAGCTGTCGTCACCGCCGCTGATAACACCGAAGACGCTTCGGTGGTGGAGAAGAATCGTTGTTCATCTCCTAACGTCGTCCCAGGGGCATCAGTGGGTGCCTCTTGGATTCCGAAGGGGGGGCTGCTGGATCGACAGCCGGGGTCTTTGATGGCCAGGCCACCCGCCTCTCCGGACGCCGCCCCTTCTCCCGAGGCAGCTCACTACTCACCAGCAAGAGGAAGCAGTCCAAGCACCATGGCCGACGTGCAACACAGCAGCGCGCGCCTGAGGTCAAGCGGCGGCGTCACTGGCGACCCGAAAGCCACAACGAACGGTAGCGGCTGCTCTCCCAATGCAGCCTCTTCTTCTGCCGATCAGCAAGGGTCGCCGCCAGCGAAGAAAAGAGCCAGTGCTCCAGGGCGTGGGTCATCCAACGCGGCAGGTTTATTACCAGCGGACATGCTCGACATCCGAAGCATCGGGTCGGGGAGTGACAAATCTGACGAGTTAAGGCGAAAACAATATGAAGTGGAGAACGAGAAACTGGGCGTGAATCGACGACTTGGTGCGAAGGGTGAGACAAGCGAGGCCACGAAAAGGAAAGACTCGAAAAGTGAGAATGATTGGCAATCAGAGGCTGGTATCCAGGAAGCCCCGCCGAGTACAGCGCTTGTGTTGAACGCAGCAAACGCGATGACGTCGTTGTTTGCCCCGAAGGCAGCCGTGCTCTGGTCTGCGAAAGACTTGGGCGTGGAGAAGCTCGTGGTTTCCGCCGCCGGCGACCAGCAGGTACAAGACTGATCTTTCGTGGTTCTTGAAACAACGTTGTTCATGGCATGACGGGGAGGGATTTCCGTCAAACAACTGTTTTTTCTTCGAACATCGTGGTGTTCATGTCGGCCGTTGAACAGCTTTCGTCCATCTCGCGCGTGCGTGTAATCCCCATGGGTGTGCATGTAGGTGCTTCGACGTCCCACGAGCCGCAACTACACTTCACGGGCGCTCCTCACGGCGTACAAACAGACTGGGCCCGTTTTCGAGGTAACGGCTTAGCAGTACCGATGTTGAGGGTGTCTAATCAACGGAAACGGGGGAAGGCAAGGAAGATCCGCCCACCTGTGGAGGCATCGAAGACGGCGGATTGTTTTATATTTCAGTTCTCCGTACAACGTTGATATTCTGCGCGATTCGGTTGGCGGTGTCTGACTGTGGCCCATGCACATGCAACGTGCCGTTAACGGTCATGAATTCAGAAAGGGTGGCCGTGTTCATGGATCCCTGCTCTTGGCGCTGGCGAATACCCAAGTCGAGGGTGGCGCAACATTCTTGCGTAGGTCTGTCGCCAGTATCGAAAGCAGCGTTCAATGAACGCCAGCAAGAGGTGGGCGACGGTGGGGTCCGGGGTTCCGCATGTTAACGGCACGTTCAATTGTAACAAATATTTGACGGTTCAGGTGGAAGCCTCGAGTTGGCGTAAGCGCGAGGGAGCGGTGGCCGGTGTCGACTACCCTCTACAGCCCCCCGCCGGCTGGGGGGGGGTAAGCTCGAATCCTCATTCAGCAGGAAGCAAACCAGCCCTCGCCTTGTCCGACGAGGACAGGCAGGGGGAGTGGAGAGCTTTCGAGCGGCGACTGGTTTCTCCCGCCGAGGCAAAGGCTTTCCGCGAAGTTGTGATATCGCGGCGTGCAAACAACCGGGCCCGGGGCTCCGGTGGAGACAGGGGGCAGGGATTTCCGTTGGGTTCCCCGCCATTTTCTTCAGACTGCAGCGAATCGACGTCAAGAGGGGGGGCGTTCGAGGACAGCGGCTCGTTCATGAGCTCGATCGCCGACACGAGTTCAGAGGGGTCGTACTTTTTCCCTGAAGAACTCCGTTCAAAGGGCTGGCGTAAGATGCCAAGGGGGGGCTCTGCCAACGCCCCCAAAACGTGGTCGAAAGGAGTCGAACAATACAGGCAGCAGAATCAGATCACCTCCGGAAGGCTGGTGGCCCGCCTCGGCAACGGCCAGGATACCAAAAGCGTCCGGTCGGCATCCACATCGTCCACGGAAGGGACCATCACGCCGACGACCGCGCCTGAGCTCCGTCTGATCCAGCAGGACAACGACCGCCACCTTCTCCATGCCTTGGGGGGAATCCGCTCCGGCGGGGAATCACAGCCATCCGTTCTGAGCTACGTGTTGGCCCCGCCGAAAGAAAGCCCATTCGCTACTTCTTCCGGCCTAGGCTTGAATTCGGGTCCGGCCGTAACCGCCGAGAGCGCCTTCCGCTTGAGCTGTGAAGCTGACGCTGATGACGTGTTGAGGGCGATGGTGCGACTAAGCATCGCATCTACGCCAACTGGAGCTGGAAGCCTCGATGCTTCAAGGCAGAGCCCGCAAGGCTTCCACAGTGGCGATGCCTCGGCCAGGGTAGGGGTGGACGAACGTGCGGCGCGTAGACGTCGGGGTAACGGAGCAGAAGCACCACAAGTACCAACCAGATACTTGTTGCCCGCAGAAGGAGGCAGCAGGGGTATCTGCAGAGGGAGCACCCCAGGCATCAAGAGCGGACACCTTGGCAACAGGAAAACCCCCTACGTTAACGAGACCGCGTGTCCCCCCGACGAAAAGGACAACTTTCTCGACATTGAGGGACGGATGTTGCGGTCCGGAGGAGGCGCACGGGGCGCCGGGCACCTGTCGCAATGGCGAAACGAACGGCTGGCCGCTACACCCGACACAAGACGCAGCACCACGAGAGAGTTTTCGGGAAGGAGTACAGTTCCACAACACGGGCGGCGGCCGAACCATCGGGGCACGGTATCGGCTGCAGCCGCCGGCCGGGCGCAGCTTGTGTTGTCTGAGAGCCAGAGCGCACCACCAGCGACCTCTCAGAATAGGTCGTCACCGTCAGCGTTGTTTCAGGATGATGGCGGGCGCCGTGGCGGCAGGGGCAACGGAGGCGGCGGACCCGGCGGAATGGCCGCTCTTGAGTCAGCCTTGAGGGCCCTATCGGCCACCGCCTCGTCGACTAGCGGAGCGTCGCTGCAGCTCTCCTCTTATTCGGCGATTTTTGATCGTAAGTCTGCTGTACGTGATGCTGGTGGCAGCACGAGCGGCGATCGTTGGCGAGGCTCTTGTTCACAGTCGCGTGAGCCAATCGTCGGTGTGAGTTATCGCGACTCAAAGCAGGAGAAATCTTCCGTGGACGGCACCGATGGCACTATACATTTTGGCGTTGGACAGAACGAAGGGGGCGTCGGCGCGAAGGCAAAAAGCGAAGGAGCACTCGACGATGGCTCCGGTACATTCATCGGACCAACAGACCCAGAAGCTTCGGTGACGCAGAGTTCCTGCCTAACCTTCGGCGAAGGTGGTGGTGGTGGTGGGTCTGTGGCATGCGATGACGACCGCGGCTATTGCGACGAGAGTGACGACAAGACGACCGGCGACCAGATGTCGATGATCATAGCAAGGGTCACCAGGGACGCAGCGGCGTCCGTTTTGTCTGCGGAGGGAATAATCACGACAGGGGCTTCTCTGGTGACGGAAGAAGCCGAACGACTACTTTCACCAGCAGTTGCACAGAAAGGGGCTGGCACTGCCGCCGCCGCTGCTGCTGCCGAGGAATCCTCACGGTTATCACCAGCGGCGACAGAGAGTGAGCGCCTGAATCAAGAACCACCTAGGGGCGATACCATGAAGGTGGGAAAGGGACCAGTCAACAAGGGGCCAAAGGGCACAGGCAAAACCACCATGACCGGTATACACGCCAAATCATACGAGAGGAAGACGAAGCCAGCCTCCAAGCGTCACGCTTCTAGGCCAGAAGTCGAGGGAAGGAGTGGTCGCGGTGGGGTTAGGGGCGACAAGAGCGCTGCTGCTTCCGTCGGGTCTTCGTCGGCCACAGCGAAGCTAACGCCCGAGCAGGAAGCTCCGAAAGGCAGCACATTAAGCTTCCGTCTTAGCGAGGAAAAAGGTCCTGCCTCGGCAAGAGGCAACGCTGGCGAGGAGATGCTTGCCTCGGGTGTCACCGATAATGCCGTCACCGCAGGGCCTCCGCTGGACAGGAGTCAGGGTAGAGGTGGAGGTCCGGAGGAAGCCAGTCCCGCAGACAGCAACTCCCTAGCAGAGGCTGAGGTTGCGAACGAGAAAGAGACTGGGATTGTTCGAGAGGCCCAGACAACAAAGTCTCCCTTGTGCCAGGTGGACACGTCCGATAAGCCTTCACGAGGCCAGACGACGATCGAGACAAAAGGGGACTCGTGCAGCAACGCAAGGCGCTCGAAGAGAGGCCAGGATAGCTCCCGTGGAAACAGAAGCACCAACACCGGACGGGCCGCATCAAGCGGAGGCGGTAGCCCAAGCAGCCAGGGGAGTAGCGTCGTAAGCCGCGGCACTACTCGCAGCGGAAGCCATGCCAGAGGCACAGAGGCGATGGGGAGCACGGGGAGCCGAAGAAGTAGCAGGAACGCCAGCGGCCCGACCTCTCGGAAAGACCTTCGGAAGGGGGGAACAACAGATGCTGCCGGTAGCACGAAAGTATCCCTTCCTGCCCTGGCCAAATCAGAGGCGACGAAGACCGTCAAGGATGGTGTGCAACAGCAACAGCAGCAAGACGGCTCTGTTGCCGAGAGAGTTCAGGTCGGCAGAGGTACGGAGGGTTCAGAAACTGCCGACGTTCACAAGCAACTTCCGCGCATTAGCAGCGGCGCTACCGCTAGCGGCGGGCGCTTCAAGACCGCAAGTGCTGCGGCGGGAAAGATTCCTCACAAGGCAATAACGGTGCACAAGAGACCTACGAGGGTGGAGAATGAAGACCTGTTCACAACGACGGAAGCGTTGACGACGCACCACCTCACGGTAGAGGAGCTCTTAAAGGTACTCCCGGTCGTGTCGCCATTGGTGTTCTTGAATTCACAATCTACCACATTGCGGGCCCGTGCGTACGGGACCACCGGTAACGATCAACAACCGCAGCTTGTACCCCACTTACACCGTCAAGAATTCGAGTCGAGTGAAAGGATTGACTTTCTGCGTCAGCCGATATTCAGTTGTTGTTGTTGCCCTGATCGCATGGATGTTTGCGGGGACACATGTGCCTGCTTTTTTTTTTCAGGGCGGCTATGATGAGCTCCTGGACGATAGCGACGGCGACGAGGAAGCCGCCAGCTATCGGGTTCGAACGCCAAAGGTACCATGAACAGAGTTTCCAGCCCCACCGCCCTTAAACCCAAGCAACGCTGTCCCGGGCACTCCTTCGTGTTAAACCCGCAGAGGCCTTAACGAGTTCGTAGGCGAAATACACGGTTCGCCAGAATGATCAACCGGCCCAAACGATTTCAGTCTACACATCATTTGGAGAAACGTTCACATACTCGCACTTTCTTCAAGGTGCTATTTGTCACCCCACATGTCATTGCGGGGTGGAAACGAGGAGGAGTAATAGAGGCAACACCCAACTTGGAACAGTAACTGTGTGTCGCGCTGTGTTGTACAAGCCCGGTTCAGACATACGCTCGGTGATTATCGTCGAGGCTCCAAGCTACAGGCAGCTGCACGGGCACCTGCGGATGTTGTGCACCAACGACCGTCCGCTGCTGTCCTTCATCGTCGTTTATCGTGGTACACCAGGAGCCGCTCATGATACCGCCCAGGGCTCGACCGAATGGAATGGCCTACTGGCAGGACAGGGAGGAAAAAGAGCGAGCTAGGCGGCGCCGTCCCCGATCCGAGATACAAGGACACGGCACGAGAGGTGGTGCGGAAGCAAGCCGGGGCGGACACGGCGGGGCAAAAGCTGGAGGCATGGTGGCTGGCAGGGGGGACGGGCCATGGGAAGACGAGAAAGAAGAGGTACGCGCCGTCAGCAATCCGCGTTTTCCTCGCTGCAGACACATCATTTTTCTAAGCGTGTGCTTTGTGGTGTGAGCTACGGTAAACAGCTGTGATACCGACGGTGTACTCCACGCTATACACGGCCGACCACGGGGTGAAATGGGGCGGGAAAGTGGCACGAACGGCTACATTACCAAAGAGGGAAACAACCGCGCTTCGTCATGGGGTGTTCCCACCACACTCGGTAGTTATTTGATGCTCATGTTGGGTGTAAGTCTTCGTCGCCTATGATGGGCTACTTCTGTGCGACGCTGCCCCCCCGTCCTCTCTGCCCCCCGTCCCCTCTCTAGCAAATAGCTCCGTCCGACCGATACCCCCTCCCCCTCCGCCGTGAATAGATCAAACGCCTCCTTTCGGAGGCCCGAGCGAGGAGGGAAGCCGCGGTCGCTCGGGTCCGAGCGAAACGCGAGCAAGCAAAAATCAACAGCGAGGGACAGCTCGTCCGACAGGCATCAGCCACCTCCACACCCACCTCTTCATCATCAGGAAATGGTTCGTCGTTGGTGCACCACGCAGTACCTGCTGCCTCTTCTTCTTCTCCGCCCGCTGCTGCAATGCCGGGTGAAGACAAACGGCCACCAGGGTTCCCTGCGCAGGGCCCTTCGAGTACCGCCGAAAGGGGAGAAAACAGCAGGAGTCGGCCCAACGGAGTCAAGGGAGGCGAACCTCCTTGGAAGGGCTTTACGCTCAGCGATGGTAGGAAGTTGTCGTAGCGTTAAACGACACCATGTGTGCTCTGCGGCAAGCCTTTCCCCCGCTTCTTCATGTGCCTGCAAGTATACTGGCTCGTTCTCGCGAAACTACAGATCACACATCGCTTCCTGTTCCAGTTGATGTTCTATTTGCTCGAGCCGGGTGTTGCTTCCTTCCTTCAACCCGCGCCCACCGGTTTGCTTCTGACACAATGTCCGTCTATGCATAATCGCGAATGCATGAGCGTTGTCAAATTAGTTTTCTGATGAATCAATATGTTTCATCGAACGTCTCGACGATCGATGGATCCCGTGGATATTATGTGATAACCGATTTGCACTAAGTCGCTTTTGCCGCTCGTTCTGACCATTCAGACGGAGAGGCGTTGCTCCGACGGCGGCGCGCGCCGTCCCCCGAACACGTTTCACCGGTCCAGGGCAGGGAAAACTCGGAGTACCAGGTAACAAGTCGCAACGTTGAGCGAAGAATCACCTCCTATCCGCCTGGTTGTTTGGTCCGTGTCGTGTGCCATTTTTATGCAAGCGGCGACTTCAACCACAACAAGGTGCAGCTTTCTGTGCATATCGGAGTGGGTAGTGTCAAGTAGTTTTCGGAGGGTGTCGGATGCATAGCCGTAGACCATGCCCCGCGACAAATGTCTCACCAAGATTTCGTTTCAGCCTCGGTATTCCACAACGCCTACGTCTACTTCACCTCCAAAAGAGCTTGTTCAACCGCCAACACGCGAAGTGCGATCGCCTCCGGGGGGCGAAACTAGCCCTGTCTTGGTGTTACTCCAGGATCTCAATCGCGTCGAATACGGGGCTGACCTACTTTGAGACACTTTGCTTGTATTGAGCGTACTGTCGGGCAAAACCCGCCGTACATTATTATTACGCCATGGTCTTGCTGATACCAAAGATTGGAAAGTGGAAATCGAACCTTTGGACCTTCAAATCTCACAGCCAGTGGTTCTGAAGGCGTCATCCGCGTGGGCCTGACTCAATACTACCATCACACCGAACACCGCTTATCAGCCCTTCCTTGCTACTGTTGTCACATTTTACGTTGTTTGGCAGCTTATTGTGCCTGGGGTGAAGGACAACCTGGTCAACTTCAGCGTGGATACGGTCGCCGTGCGAACGAACTACGGAAAACTCAGACGGGGCGTGGAAATTCGACACAGGGTACGCGCTGATATCGCCTCGTGAAAAGTTGTGTCTGGTGCCGATTTGCTTCGAAGCCGTTACCGATATGGTTGGAGACTCGGGCGACCAAACCACGGGATCTCGGTCATGCCGATATGGACACCAAGGGTAACAACAGGGACAATCCGACGAGCGCCGTAGCGAAAAATATCCACCCCACCTTCTGTGCTGGCGGCATTGTCTTGAAGCTATTTTATTATTTCGATTACTGTAGGAATGCGGTTATTAGACTAATAAATGTCGATAACGAACCTGTTGCACGTGGGAAAGCAAGACAGCCAGTGTGATTGTGCCGTTCCACACCCGCATAGTCTACATACTTGATGTTGAATGCCATTACCTGGTTCAATGGTGATACCTCACGGTAGAGTTAGATCGAAAATACTCCCGAAGATGCCACCGGTGAAAAAACGTCGCACATTGACACACACATCCTCTCAACACGTATGTCCTGTTTCTGCACCATGCAACTTCGTGATCTCCGTCCAACAGATGGGGATAGGCGAAGACGGCGAAATTACCGATCCCGACGACGAGAGCATGCAAGAAGCCAACGATGGTGATGGCGACCCGATGCTAACCATACGCGCAGCAACAGACCGACAGTCGGGGGACCTAAGCAGCGAAGTTGATGACGACAGCAGTGCTCCGAGCACACGTGAACGTTTGTTATCTCGTCCTAGCACCTCGGGGGCAATTCCCGAAATTTCTATCCGACGTCGCACTGGGGTGCAAGGAGGCCGTCGCAGCTACGCGGAAGCGCCGGTTCCGGTGGTAGATCCCGCTGGAACGATTGCCCGGGCTTCAAGAATAGTCACAGAACTGCAGCTGGACGGGGAGAACATGATGTCCCCTCTGGATTCACTGAGGGGCGATGTGGGTTTCGACAACGACGACAATAATACCGATGTGTCGGGGTGAACCAAGAATCCAATCAATGCGGCGGAGCAGCACACCGTGTGCACGACGGCCCGGGGGAGGTGCAGGACGACACCAGGCTATCGAAAAGGTCTCATTGAAATGGTTCCCACATGGACAAGCATCTTGAGAATAAGTTTCTTGTTCGGAAGTAGGGATCGTTTGCGCGTTGTCGGGCCCCGTCGTGCATCCGACCCTACTCTTCAATAGATAGTCTAAGTCTACAGCAATGTCGATACCGACTACTAGATAGAAAGAGGTGTCTGGGTCTGTCGATTGACAATACTCTCTTGCTTGTCGTCCTAAACCTCCTCCCAATACTCGTCGTGTTTCTTCCTAAGATAGAGCCTATTGAATTCTACACATAGGCTGTGTATTTGCCGAGGTGATGTGCCCTTGCGGCCAAAAGTTATATATATGCACCCATGGATACGCACAAAAGCCATGCACCCATGCCCTCGACAGACCGAAATCACCACCAGGTGAAAAAACTAGATGCTCTGCTTTGGCAGGAGCATGAAACCTCCTAAAAACCCTAACGCTAACCCTAACCCTAACCCCAAACCCACCCGATAGGTGCTAGGTTGGCGCTGGGTGGCTCAGTTCTAGGTTGTTGTGCTTGTATTAGGGCTAGGTTGCTGTTGACGAGGAAAACTCTAGGGTGTTACTGCTTGGATAGGTGCTAGGTTGGCGTTGATGGGATAAATCTAGGTTGGCACTGCCCCAGGATAGGTGCTGGGTTGGCCCTGACGTGGCTAGGTGCTAGGTTGGTGGGCCTTCGACAAGGGCTAGGTCGCGCTTGAGTGGTAAACGGTGTTCGTGCAGGCCTGTCTGTATGGACGGGACTGCCAAGTTATGGGTGCATGGCTTATGTGCGTACCCATGGGTGCATTTAATTAACATTTTCCGCTCTTGCATGTAGGCATGCATGCCGATAATGACGTGCTGAATGTTGGGACGGTTTCGCAGACGAAGGTTACACAACAGTTTATTCCGTGAACAAACTCAGGGGGGCACCGACAAGTTGTAGTAAACACACCGTGGCATTTTCTCAGAGAAAGTGGGGGCAATAAGCAATGTCGCCACAACATATCATCGAGGCATCGACTAACTACACTTGTAGACTAAATACTTCAAGTACTTCAGACTAGTAATGTCGAACCAGGGCAATCAATCTTGTTCGGAGCACTCTTCTCCCGGCCACAAGCCCTTTTGCCCGCGTCAACGGAACCGTGCGAAGGTGTACCGATTCAGGTAAAAGTCAATCGACAGATACCCTGCGAATCGGTCCTCCTTTACACTCTCCACCCACAGAATTTACCCTCAACTGGGAACCTCTTGTGGCCAGGATGGGTAATTCGATGGAAGTGTCACAAGGTTCTTTGTAGGATCGACTCCAACGGGTGTTCTCAGGACTGACACACATTGTGTCCTTGGGAAAATATCCAAGTCAGGAGAAAAAGTGTGCACCCAAGGAGATTCGAAC